GAACAGGGCAGTGGGGAAGGCCTGAATGATGCTGTTGAGGAGGACAGCAAATGATGAGACATTTACACCCTGGGGACTATTGGAGCAGGCAGAGGCCCACTCTATCACCCTTTTTTTGTTTTTGCTTGTACTGTCGCTAGGTGGGTCCAGATCCCCTCCAATTCTCTCCTCATTGATAGTCAAGTGTTTGAGATAGGCCATTGAGTATAGTCTAGTTAGATTTCCAGATTCAATTCCCTGAGATTTCAGGGTCCAGCTATGAGGGGTGGGGGATTGAAATTTCACACAGGTGACATCAGCAATGATTGGCAGGAGGAAGGGGCTGGAATTCCTTCTAACTTTATTTTGGTGTCCTGACTGGTGGCGAACAGTTAGCTGCCATGCCTGCTAGTTCTTCCATTCTGCATCACCTTTCCTACAGCACACATGACCCATGTGATATTTTCCAGAGTCTCAAGAGGTTGTGGGATTAACAGAAGGTTCACTGTCAACCCCTAAGCTTTCCCCAGGTTCTTCTGCTCTTTGGATCTATGTAAAAAGAAGGCTCAGAAGTCATGAGACTGGCACAATACTTGTTATTTTTCCGTGTATGAGACTATACTTTTGTCTAAAATCTTTAGACTAAAAATTGAGGGTTGTGTTATACATGGAAGTAAGCTGAGGAGAGAACAAAAACAAGTGGCGGGGAAAGCAGGGATCAAAGCAATCCTGCAGCACTTTGATCCGTTTCCCCCCCATCCTTGCTGAACCCCACTTAGATTTCTTAATTTTGGATTAGAAAGGTAGGGGGATCTTATACATGGGGGCATCCGAATGGCACAAGGACACTTACTTTCTTTCCAGCCCTCTCCACTTGCTCCTGACTTTTTGGTGTGCACAATATCCATTAAAACACCACCATGCTCCACCTGGGAATGGCAGGTTGGCTTTAATCATCATCATCATCGTGTGCTGTTAAATCAATTCTAACTTAAGGTGACCCTTGTCAGTGTTTTCCAGATAGACAATATCCAAAAACGGTTTACCATTCCCTTCTTCTGGGGTCATCCTGGGACTGTGCAACTTGTCCAAGGACACACAGGCTGATTCCCCACACAGAAAGCATAGTGGAGAATCAAACTCCCAATCTCTGGCTCCATAACTATATACTTAACTCACTGAGCTATCCATCCAGCGGGCTTTATTACCACCTCTTAAGCAAAGATCTTAGCTTCTCTTCCGGTACTGCTCATCCTGAGATTAGCATTTCTGCCTAGATTGCTGGGGAAGCGTAGAAATCCCCTAAGACTTCCACTAATGCCCTGAGACCTGGCAACCATACTTACCTAAAACATATCTCAGCTCTTGCATGCTGCTTTGTGCTTTCTTCAGTGAAGAAAGACCCAAGGTTTCTTCTGGAGATGTCTCTGTCTCTTGAGGATGCAAAAAAACCAAAAACAAAAAACAAAAAAAAAAACAAAAACAAAAACAAAACAAAAACACGAAGCTCGTAAAGCTATCTCCAAAACTGTAACATATATTCGGAACTCCACTTGCAAAACATGGGTGAATGCAGAAGTCATCCAAAAGGTGCTCCTTTTTAGGGCAAGGCAGTCTAATCAGCAGAATTAATTACTGGGAGCTGCCAAGATTATAAGGCCTTATGCTGAAAAGACGGAAAAGAATTAAGACTGCCCCAAAGTGGTAATCTAAACAAGATGCAAATGAAGATACAAATGAAGGAAAAATACCTGCCCAACAACTTCCAGGAGAAGGGGAGATGTCATGGAAAGCAGGAAGAGAAGGATCATGCCATGCTGGAGAACTCTTGTGGGATTGCTTGATCTTGTACAGCCCTCAACAGACCTCCTGGCTAGCCACCAGCCTCTTTCCAGGTTGGCAGGCAGTGAAAGGTGGTGCTACCTCAAGTGGCTCTGTTGTAGCTGATCTTTCCAGCACTATTTGATCAGCTCAGATAGGTATAGGCTGGAGGGTTACTGATGGTTGCTTGTCCTTTGTCTTTTTGCCTTTTAGTTATTTTCTAATGCTTTTTCTTATTCTCCCATCATACTTAGAATTTTGTCCCTGTTTCATAGCTCCTTTCTTCCCTCCCTCATAAACTGGACTTCTCTCCCCTCTATGTTTCCTTGTCTCTGCCTTTCCTAACACAAAGGTAGCAACGCCTCCTCATTCATCACCCATGTTTCATCTCTTTCCTGAGAGATTTCCCTCTCATTTGCTCCTGGTTTGGCCAACTACTTTGTGTATGTCTCAGTTATTTTCTGTCTTTTCAGCACAAGCCATGATAAGACTGGCAGCTGACAGGGAGGCTTGTGGTTAGGCGATCGTGTAGCAAATGAAGCCCATTTTTGATGGCTTCTGCCTGTTTTTTTAAAAAAATATCTATATAGGCACTGTTCTGCAAATGGATTTCAAAATATACATTACAGTTTCAAAGAGCACATGAAAAGATCTGGTGTGTTCATTTTGCATTCTCAAGAGAGGAAAAAAGCTCCAAGTAAGGATTCATTAAAGATAGCACCAAGCAGCATGGAGAAGCTGAGATTTTAGATAGGAACTGGGGTTGCCAGAACTCGGGGTGCTGTCTGAAATTTCAGGGGATTTCTATGATTCTCTAGGTCTCTAGGCAAGAATACAAATCTCAGGATTAGCAGTCCTGAAAGAAAAGAAACAAAGGCCTTTCTTTGCAAGGCAGTAGGAAAGCCATCCACCTGTTCCCATCTGGCACTAGGGCTTAGAGGCTGAGAACGGAAGTGTTTTCATGTTTGCTGTGTTTGTGCTATATCAGCACACACACACACACAAAAATCAGGAGCGGGGAGAATAGACTGGAAGGATAGATGGTCTGTGCATGCATGAGAGCTCACTGGGCACTATTGATTATATTCTCTTAGGCCATGGGCCAAGACTCTTATGCAGTAGGGGTAAGGCAAAGCAGGGTAGTGGCAGTGAGCCATGTCCTATGTCTGTATACATTCAAAGCATTGTTGTGGGCCACTTAATGCATTTAGAGTAATAAGGTAGAGCCATCCTTCCTGTTTTTTCAGGGTTCATCTTTGTACACTCAAGTAAATGTTCATTTTCCCCACTGTTGCCCTTGTCTCCATCTTCTCAGCTATATATGATTTGAAAAAAAGAGAGAGATTAGAGTTGTCCAACCTCTAGCAGATTAAATATTTGTTTTCCACTGTATCACTAATTAGCTAAGGATGATGTGAGGTTATGTGTTTAACTTTCAGCAGTGGTAGGAAGTCAAAGTCATAATTTTGCAATCACTTGTTTCCTTGAAAAGTCAAAGAAAATAAATGAAGGACTTAAAATCTTCCAGTTCAAACGCTAAACTAATGGGATTGCCTCTTAACTAAATTTACATACTTTTGCAACTTTGTAAAACATTTCTGAAGCAAAAGGCATATTTTGTTTTTAGATTATGCATTTGTGGCACAAGAATCACCATCCTGGAAGAAGCTTTCCTTCATGTATGAGAAACGAAGTGCTGATTGCTAACTAAGGAGGCCCGTTTTGTCCAATTTTGATGTCTTTAGAAAAATAACGCAAAACCAACTGGGGCGAATTTCCAGGAAATATTCATAGGCAGTGTTAAATATGGACTGGCACCTGCAGATTCTTTTCTGAAAGTGGATCCTTCCTGACTTGACACTAAAGTAATGGAGAACATCTTGCATTGATAACCTTGGTATAAATGACAAATTTGCTGTAACTGCAATAAATGTTTTTGCAAACAAGTGCAAATCTGCTTTAAACATTGTGCCCTATATTTAAATGTGATTCCTTGTTGTCCTGTTTTTTTCTTTCTATTTGTGGTATATTGTTTAGTATTTATATTAATTATATCATTTATATTTTTTTGTGTACGCAGCCCATGGTAGCAATTGGCTAGATGGGCAGTATATATGTAAATCAATCAATCATCAAACAGAGGGCATGTACAGATGGAGCCTCCCTTTAAGTGCAAATCTGCTTTAAACATGTGCCCTATGTTTAAATGGGATACCTTGTCCTGTTTTTTTCTTTCTATTTGTGGTATATTGTTTAGTATTTATATTAATTATATCATTTATATTTTTTTGTGTACGCAGCCCATGGTAGCAATTGGCTAGATGGGCAGTATATATGTAAATCAATCAATCATCAAACAGTGGGCATGTACAGATGGACCCTCCCTTCACTATCACGCAAAGGTAGAGGAAGGACCATCTTACCTAAGCTGACAACAGAGGAAGCCCTATTGCAGTCTAAAAGAGTGTGCAGTGGATGCCATTTTAAACCAAATTAAGGCTTGATAGAAACTATTTCGAGTTCCACCTGATTTTTAGCAGATATGTAGTCTCAGACCCTGTGTTTCCCTTGTAACATTTACTTCTACTTAAGAGAATATGATCCCCTCCCTTTGGAGGGAGGGGGGTCACATTCGAAAGTGTAAGTCCCAAAGGTGTTCAGAAATAGTTTTCAAGACAGAATGAGCACATACGTATCCCTGTGCATTTCAACCCTTAATTCCTTTTCTTTAAGGAATTCCAAGGTTATTTCAGAGGAAATTATGCTCTTATGAAAGGCATTAGAAGGAGAAGGAAAAAGGGAAGGAAGTAGTTATCCCTGAAGTAAATTTAGCATTCCTTGAAGTACCTCCTGCAGTGCTCAGAATTTGCTGGATATTAAGATGATTTTCTATTAAATGTTCTGAAGACTTCTGGACCTTTTCCTCTTTTTGTGAGGAAATGCAACTCCCTTAGGTCTTAAAGAATGCAGACTTTTGTTTTTCTTTCTTTCTGATGTGCAGTGCATGCTAACAAATGATTCAGCAATTTTCAGTGTTTAGGTTTTGTCTTCTTTATTAGGCATGGCCGGTTTGGTATTAATAAGTTTTACATTATTTTGTGCCACACGAGTACAGTGTCCAAATCTTGAATGCTTGACTTTCGCCCCCCACCTCAACAGATGCCTATACATTTGTGATAGAATAATAACCACAATAAGAATTTTCCACGAAAGTTAACTTTATTTGAATTCAGGATCATAAATCATATCCCACTCCCAGCCCTGTTTATCACATTTTCATTCAGATATCCGATATCTGCTACGCATTATAAATTAGATGCAACACTTGCTAATAAGATACAAACACAAAATTGTCTTCCACACAAATGCTGTAATTTATCACAGGAAGCAGATGAACCAAATGCAGAGACTCTTGAAGAAATGTAATGTTGGTAAGCAGATAGTATCAGGAACTGCTTATCTTCATAGTAAACATTAGCCTGGTGCTAATCTCACTCGAATTCACTTAATTAAGAAGCTGTAAAGAAAGAAAGAAAAATGATTAAATGCTGCAGAAAATGTGCACAGCTTTGGCGTCCCTTCTCTTTTTCAAAAATTAAGATTTGCAATGCTTTGGAGGTTGGCAGTGAGAGATAACTATTAACACATTAGAACTAAAAGTAAAAACATGCAAATTCAAACTATACCATGATGAACATGTATACATGTTGGACATTTTACTAAGTATTAGATTTGTATCATATCATATTATTTATATTATGTTTATATTATATTTACTTGTTTATATTAACTAAATATTTCACTACATACTTGGCATCTATTATATGCACCTGATTTGGGGGTGATTTGGGGGTGAACCACCTCTGGTATTGATACAGCTATGCAGATGTTTCAGAGCAGAAGAAGCTATATAATCATTTTATCTGGCTTCTTTGTACTTTTATGTGCAGATTAAGCAGTCTGTCAAGTCTGTAACAGACTCTTTTTATCTGCACTAATCTAAATGTCAAATTCATGGTTCTAGTAAATGAGAGTATTAAGAACTAACATCTCAACAAAGTTGTAAATAAATTATGTCTTTGAAATTTAGAGTACATTCCATGGCTTCACAAATGAGTACCACAGTTTAGTAGGGCTTAGTCCACAGTCAATGGTGAAAGGATAATGTTTTTGGTCTAACTGATCTAGAAAAGTTGTTCTTTACAGTCAGTAAGCATATACATTAATTCTCTTTTTAGAAAAACCTTCTGATTTATAAATGTGAGTGTTGTGCTTCTGTATCCATGATGAAAAACACCAGGAAATGGCCTATTTTCAAAGAATTTTTGAGAATGTATAGTAACATTTCCACAAACTGCTCATCATTAGGTTATCTACACAAATTTTATTTACCTTACAGATAGGGTATGCCCAAAAGTGAATCCTTATTTCAAATACACTGACAAAAATAAACAATCACATTTTGAATTAATGGAGAATACAGCAGTTACATTTAATGTCCTTTCCTGTCATTGATAATCCTTTGCTGAGAAATGTGTATGGGGAGAAGAATTCTCTTGAGAGTAGTGCAATTAATGCTAGAAAATACCAAGCATGTTTCATAAGTTCATCCTGAAGATGCCATAACCCAATGTGGCTATAGAAGGCTGACTATTCAGCTTGAGTGAAATACCCTTAGAACACCATTCTGTATGATTTGCATATCTAGAAGACTTGTTCAACACTTTATTAGACTTCAGCTAATCAGAAACTAAGAAGGGCCCTGCCAGGTCAGACTAAAGGCCTGTCTAGTCTACCCTTCTTTACCTACAGCTTCTAGCCTGCTACTTATAGGAAACTCAAGTGGGCATGACTTCAACACCATTCTCCAATTTGTGCTCTCCAATATTTGGTGTGTAGAAGCAATTATAATAGGGGATATATACTGTATTATTCTTAGTATAGGCTGTTCCTCATTATAAGCCACACCCTTAAAGTTTGATGCTATTTATTTATTTATTTATTTGGCAACATCCCAATTGTAGGGCACACCCCTAGTTTAAAGACTTACATTAGGGAGGGAAAGTGCGGCCTTTACTTGGGACGATAAGGTCATAGAGAATGGAGAGAATTTCCATTCAGTTCATTTTTTTATCTCAAATCTACTGAAATCCACAAACTTCCACAGAGGAGAAAGCAAAACTAACCATCTGTTGATCCCTAATAGATGGACATAAAGCCCACCAGCCTTCCTTCCTAATCTTGCCTTCCATAACTTCCATATATCTATTTTAAAGCTGTTCCAACTTGGCAGCTGTCAGTACATATTGTGGTGGCAAGTTCTACAGTTTAACCATGGATACAAATTTTTGCTTACTTTATTTTCAAACTTTTTCTGATAAATCTGCATCATTTTTCTGATAAGTCTGCAAATGTGATTTTTTTCCCTTATTGGAGTAATATTCCAGTCTGTTGATCATTTTGATTCCCTTCTCTGCAACTTTTCTATCTTGCATCTCATCCTTTCTGAGGAGCAGTAACTAGAACTGCTATATGAAGCATTCCAGGTATGGTTGTCTGCATCTTAACTAATAGGACTGGTGAAGTAACAATACTACTTTCTATTAATAAAAAGGGAGTACAGTATTTAATGAACAGAGGTATTAATGACACATGGTTTGCCACCTGCATGGAAAATAAATGAATGCATGCAAATGGCAGGAATGGGGAGGTGAAGAGAGAGGAAATGGCTCATGAACAGCACTTATTACAAGTAACCTGTCACTGCTATTTTTCAACCAAAACATTCAACATCCCCTGATGCATATCCAAAGTTAAATTCAATTGGAAGGGACTTTCATAGCAGTTTAATGGAATGGTAATTTTGGTGAGGCAGATTTTCAAGTTAATAGTTTATGTGGTGGAAAATCAGATGTGGCTGCAACTCTTTGTCAGTTGTACAGTTGCTGTATGTAACTAGGCTTCCTACAAGCAGAATTTGGGAAAGAAAAGATGCAGAGGGTGGTCGGGGGGGCACACTCAGCCTGGAGGTCAGCATCGTGAAGCTTCCCTTCCCTTCTCCATACATAATCAAATGTATGGAACTACTGTCTGATAAGGCAACTGTGAATGTACAATTTGTTCCTTCTCTTGCACTGCATGGCTTATGAATTTTGTCATCTTAGACACAGATTCAGACAGAGGTGGGAAGAGCACCAGTGACATTATTTGTTCTTGATGAGATATTTGTCTCAACTTGTCAAGGAAGTCTACTAAAAAATTTCTTGCAGTTGTCAGAGGTGATAAATTCCAGCCTGAGAATGAGACAAAGACTGTCTTTCTTTCCATACAGGTTTATATAATCTGTGCAAAATTTCTGTACAAAACAATTGTATTGGATGCAAAGCACATAGAAACAGCAAACATAAAAGGATTCAGCAACTGATGAAAAAGACACAAAGTATCCATCCAATGTTTCTACTTTCTAAAAGTTCATGTAGTGAGACAGCAGTTCAATAAGCAGTTTTGTGTAGTTACACAATTTGTGCAAAAATTCCTTTTCACTAATGAGAGAATTCTAATTGAGACTATCAGAAAATCCCTTGCCAGATTTTGTTCGTAGATTCTTGTTTTCATGCATGAGAATGAGACAAGTAAGTATTTAAATCTGTAACTTTAGATATCGGGGAGTTTTATCTGCAAATATGATGTCTAGGAACAAGGTTTCTCCACCCACACCAGGTTAAGAAGTAACACAAGAGAAAAACAGTACCGAACAGACACCAAAATAGACAGAACAGATGCTAAGTAAGAAGAATGGGAGGAAGAGGACCCAAAACCTTTTAAGCTCCATTATCTCCCAGAAAAGACCTAGATGTCAAAATCCCCTGTTGAAAATTATGACTGTAAAATTCTGCATCATTGCCTATGTAAGGGATTCCAAATTGCTTCCTCCTACAACACCAGGAGAAAAGGGGGATGTGATAGGCATGGCTGGAATATGATTCTGCTTACAGGACTGCAATGAGAATTTTGGCTAATCAGAGTCCAGGTGGCTTTAAAAGGGGTTGATTGCTGGGCAGGCCTTTCAGACAGGTTATAAGGCAGCCTATATAGCCACTCTGCCACTTCTCTTCCCATACACCCCTGGAATGGGCCACTGGAGGTTTTGCAGTTCAACCAAAATCCATGCAGCAAATGTAGGCAGCAGACAAAGTGAAAAGGAACCCTGATAATAGCTGTATTAATCATATAATTAAAATATGCAAGGTATACATGTGAGCAGAAATATGATGCCTGCCTTCACTCAGACCCAGTGGTCTGTGGGGGCAAGTACACCTTTCAAGCCAACAGACCCCTATTTAATTTGCAAGAAAAGGGGTGTTACATAGTGAGTGTAGGAGTGGGAACAGTTTTTGCTTGTGTTGTTAGGTTGGACAGACTGCACCCAGATTTGACACCAGATCGTCCCCATAGGTGTGAGGCCCCTGAGACCTCTCAGTCATTTCAAGTAGATGATATGGTTTATGCCCGAAATTATAGTGGTGGACCGGCATGGATTCTGGCAATGGTGACAGGAATAACAGGACCAGTGTCATATGCCGTCACCATTGGAGGAGGAAAAGTGCTGTGATGGCAAATGGATCAACTATGGTGTAGGTGGAGTGGTGGGATAAGAGTGCCAGATGTAGGCATTCATCCAGAGGGAATGTAACATCAGGAAGTCCCAGTGTAGCAGAGGGAGAGCCCACTAGTGACAGAGACTGAAACAATAGAGACTGGAATGATGGGAGATACAATAACTCCTGAGGGGGAAATAATTCCTGAAGTAGAAATGAGGGTTGATTCAATTTTGATAAATGATCAAGGACATACTGAGATGACTGTGGCTGAAGAGCCAAGGTGCTCACAACAGGTGAGGGCCTGACCAAAATATTTACAGGATTTTATTTGTAGCTAGATTTTTAAACTTGCGGGAGGGAAGGGTTTTATGTACTGAGTGTAGGAGTGAGAAGAGTTTTTGCCTGTATTGTTGGGTTGTTGGCCAGCTACAGGTAATTAGTGGGAGTGGGGCAGTTCCTTGGGTGAGTGTTGTATAAATGTGCATGTATGTTTTATTAAGGGCATTTTTGCTTATCTTATTGACTGGGAATGTTGAATAAAGGCATGCTGATTTACGATTTGAGAGTTGTGAATCCATTATTTAACAGGGGGCAAGCCAAGGTTCAATCCAGTACCTCCAAACCCTGTAAAGAAGCAGGCCATAGTAGGTAAAGCACAATGGACTGCACCTTGTATATTAACCCATTCTCTTGTAAAACCTCTACCAACTTATAGAGCACTACTCCACAGCACAGATATTTATGGGAGGGTTCCACAGAAGGTTTCTATATCCCTTTCATGAGCACACAATCTGAACTCTACTCCTGACATGCCAGAAATCGCAAGCACCAATTATTTCCAAAGAGTGCAGCAGAACAGGGAACTTGCTAGCTAGCTCCACTAGCTGGAACAATTTCCGAGGCAAAAATGATGAAA